TATATATATATATAAAATAAAGTCTTGTTTTGCACATACAACTTGTCTTTGATAAGCTTTTTTCATGTTAAAATAATAATTTTACATAAAAATAAAATAAAATAAATTGTTTTTTAAAAGTAAAAATTCAGTATTTTAAGAAAAGAAGAAAAGAAATAATATTATACAAACACAACTTCCACTTTAAAAGTAATGTTTTACAAGCACAACTTATCCCACTTTCAGAATTTTTTTTTAAAACTTTAAAAGTAAAAAAAAATGTCTCTAAATGTTAAAAAAAATAACCCATATTAACATACTAGCTTATTCAATTTAGATAAAATTTTAAGTAAGTCTTTTTAGACTTCTCAAAATAGATAATTTAGTTCGACTCAATCTATCACAAGTAAGATAATAAGTGGATCAACTCAATTGAATTTACCTTCAAGTGAGATTAAAAATAATCAACTTGACCTAATCCATTACGGATTGATGAATTAAATGAATTGATTCACTTAAATAAAATAAAAAATAAAAAATTATTAAATTTTATAAAAAAATATATATTACAATCTTATATTTTAGAATTACAACTTAATGATAGGACCATAAAATGTAAAAAAAAAAAAATAGACATCAACCACAACTAATTTATTCATCTTATAATATCAATTAATATCAAATTTATTACATAAAATATTAATAAATAATATCAAATTGACACTAATTATTATAATTCACAATTTATATATACAAAAATAATTAATAATATAAACGTATAATCACATAAATTAATATTTGAAAACCTAAAAAATAAAAGTAAAATAAAAAATATACTAGATGAACTAATTTACGAGTTAATTTAACTCACCACGAGTTAACTCATGATAAACCATGTTATAAATGGGTTAGATCAATATTTTTTTATAATTAAAATGAACGAATCTTTTTTTTTCTGATTCAACTCAATTGAAATTCTTGATGAACTGATTTATCTCAGAAGTTCCAACTTTGACAACTCATGTGTAAGCAATTTAGTGCAAATAACATTTAGAAAAATGCTTTAACGTCCAAAAAATTTAGTAAAAGATTCTAATTTAAAAAATATTTTAATTCAAAATATTGACAAGTGTTAGTTGGAAGGATAAATGAGACTCGTGGAAGATCTATGATTTCCCTAAGATTTAACTTCTTCCATAGTCTACACCCTTGATGCCACCATATGTTTTTTTTTTGGTTCGTCCATGGAGTATTCAGGGCCGACAACAGTGACTAATCTCCTCGTTAGGTTGGAGGCACCTCAAAGGTAGGTGGGATAGCTGGCCCCAAGATTTAACGCGGGGGCATACACAAGGTAGGATTCGAACCCCTGACCTTACTTAAGTCTTTCCCACTTTTTATACTTTTTTATTTCATACCTAGTTATGCGTTTCGCTTATCGTTATGAAATCGGGAAATCTGGGACTAGAAACCTCGTTTTGGACTTGAAAGGTTAGTTGTTTTCTAGTGCATTTTTTCATACCGGAACAACATGAGACTCTTTTTTCTTTTTGTATTTTCAATGAAAGTGAACAATGTAAGTAACTGTTAGAGAAAATTGTGATTGTTACTTGTGCAATTTCAGTTTGAGTTCAAGTAAATGCTAGTTATTGTTTTAGTGGGACCTGTAAATAGATGATTTGGAGTAGATTGAAAGGCATGAGAAGTGATTGTATGAGAACTGTTTTAAAGTTGTTTGAAGGGGACTCTTCCCTTGGCAGAGCAATAAACTCTGATTCTATCTTCTATTATTTATTTTCTGTTACTTCATGTTTTTACTGTTACGGGGGACCTATCAACTTGTGTGTTTGAATTTTGTTACTCGTGTTACTTACACTTGTGGCACTAAGTTGGACTTTGTGTTTGACGACCTTGATTGTCATTGTATTTGTTGGAGTGGTTGGTGTATTTTTTAAGTAAAGGACGGGAAGAAAATGATGTTTTATTTGCTCAAATTACTAAATAAAACATCATATACTAAACAACAGAGTGTGTATAGTGAGGAAGCTTAAGAACTTTTCTGATTTGAAAAATAGAGAAACTGATATGCCCAAGCTCAATACAGAAGATCCAGTACAAGCTATTTCCACTACTGCTAGGCCCAAGAGAGTTACCAACAAACCCAAGAAGTGGTCAGATTTTATCTTTTATAAATATAAAGGAAAATCAAATGATTCAGCAGCTTCCGGAAACAATTTGTTACGATTCTGTTATTGCTTTATTGTTTGTTGTGGGTTATGCGTGAGCATTGTGAGGTTTCTATGTAGTGTTGTATGTTTGACACAGGCAATGAGAATTCAGTCATTTTCTTCCCTATTATTCTCTTTTAGGAGACCATCTGTCCTCAAATTCAGAGTCTGTTAAAATCACATCAGAAATAATTACATGAATCTTGATATAGATTTTTACATGTTGATTTTACTATATTTTTATCGACTTACTATGTAGAAATTAAAAGATTGTCATGAAGTTTGTGTATAAGACTATGAATGTGGATGTAGATTTTGAAACTCATCCTGTATGTTGGAGGCACAGCTCCGTCGCCGGCGACGACACCTCCTTCTCTGTTAGGTATTTCATCGCTTCTCTGCTCTGTTTCTCGCTTTCATTCTTCCCTACTTTTTATACTTTTATTTATTTAAACTCATTCTTCTCAAGACCCTTTTCTAACGATTGATTTACGAACATACCTACTTATGCGTTACGCTTATGAGATGGAAACCTCGTTATGAAATCGGGAAATCTGGGACTAGAAACCTCGTTTTGGACTTGAAAGGTTAGTTGTTTTCTAGTGCATTTTTTCATACCGGAACAACATGAGACTCTTTTTTCTTTTTGTATTTTCAATGAAAGTGAACAATGTAAGTAACTGTTAGAGAAAATTGTGATTGTCACTTGTGCAATTTCAGTTTGAGTTCAGCAAATCCTAAAATCCAGGCCGAGAGGTCATCCCATTGATGTTAAATTATATTTTAACAAAATATACTTTTACTTTGTACTCCAATATCTTTTATATCATACTACTTTCAGTATTTTGGATCTCGCTGACTATTACTCTAAGGACATTAATTATATTAGAATAAATATGGAATTTTTATATTAAAAATTAACTATATTAAAATGTAAGAGAATGTGTTGTTACACTTTTTAATAATTTTTATTTAGTTATAATTCTTAACACATTTTATGGTTTCATGAATTTTGTAATAAAATTTTGTTATCATGCGACTGCTTAGTTTGTTGTTTAACACCTAAGTTAATTGTTATGTAACATATTGATAACTAATGTCGATAATTAATATATAATATTAATAATTATTTAACAACGTCAAATGATTAATTAAAATTCACAAAATTATATGAAATATAAGGTAATTAAGATTTTTTTTATGCAAGAAAAATAGAGTGATCAGTGATCGGAAGTGCCATTATATGATCATTCAGCGGGAAGAAATTATATCTTATTAAACAAAAATTGATTCGTGTCATAAAATGAGAGATATGATAGAAAAAATACATATATAATAAAAAATCGACTCAGATATAATTTTTAAATAAGTTGTCATAAAGCCAATAATTTCAGCATGGGAAGATATTATTGCATAACAGTATAATACTATAATTAGTTAATTATGATCATAACATAACAAGTCATAATTTTTTGTTACAAAAATATTGTTGGGGTGAGAATTTTATGAGTAAGAGTATGAAGAGATCCAGAGAGTTCGGCGTGTATAAAGTGAAGCAATAGAGTGACAGTAGAACACGAGCTGAAAAGCAAGCAAGTAAATTCTGGTGGAAACGTTTTTCACGGGGAAACGAGCAAAATAGATCTTGCATGAATCTCGAGAAAAATCAAAAGGATAATTGTATTAGTTTAGGGTAATAATTTAAACAAACTCATGACCATGACGTGAGATCCATCTACATAGGGACATGTATGTACAAATTATACAGAACAAACGAGAGTTACGTGTAGCTCAAGCGAAAACCCAGCAAATCAAAACTGCCCAACACTTTTTTACTTTCTCCACTCTCTCCATCTCAAAGTGCTCACCTTAGTCGTTAGTTTGGTACGAGGAAGGGGTAAATCGAGCTACTTGTTGTTGGGTTTCACACATAGTGTTGCTATTTCCTACAGGACTAGGACTAGGAAGAAGGGTCACGCGATTTGTTTGTGGCTTTATCATGTCACTAGTTTTGTTGTTCTGAGAGTTTGTGATTGTGGATGGGGCTTGGTCTCAAAAGGAGGAAGAAGAAAGGAGAAGAAGGAGAGATGATGCGCAAGTCTTTCAAGGATTCCCTCAAAGCTCTTGAAGCTGACATTCACTTTGCCAACACACTGTAAATTTCCTTCTTCCTTTTTTTTTTTTTCTCTCTTTCCAATCTCATCCCAAACAGGGTTTTTCTTCTTTTTTATTCGGTTGTGATTGTGGTTGATTATCATTACGTCTCTTTGGATGCTACTGCCCTTTTCCCAAATTTCTGCCTCTTTTTGGAGATGATGCTAAATTTCAAGTCTTTTTGGATGCTGAATTATGGGTTGTAAACTAGTGATGGCTGCAATCTTGTATGAAGCTATTTAGATGTAAACTCTATTCTGTTCATTCTTCCATCTTACAATGTCATGGTTTTGCTTTTCTTTTTATAATAATAAGAATAATGATAATAATTTCCTGCTATGCTAAAGCTGGTATAAAGGACCAGTGAATTGTACGCTTGAGGTGAAGACAAAAGAGGAAATTAAGCTGAAGGAAAGGAAAAGAGGGAGTATTATACACTATACACTATACAGTATATGTTTACAACTAAATATGGATTTATATGCTTTTTTAATGAACCACTTTTTATATAAAGTTTTCGGTTTTCCATTCTGAAGGGTATTGGGCAATGGACACTTCAATTCTTTTGGTGTTTTCCTGTAGAGTGGCAGGGATGCCCCAGTTTGTGGCAAATTCCCCTCCTCTTTTTGTGTGAAATTCAGAGACCCTTCTATTTTTTCACTTAAATTAGCAAAATAAAATTTTAACTTTTTGAATGGGGCCTTTTAAAAGCATAGTGGATTACTGGGTTACAAGACAGTATGAGACACGTTTGAAATTGCCTGTGTCACACTGTCACTTCTAGCTTCCATTTTATTTGCATTTTAATGCAGTGAGATGATCTAACCCTTTTTTTTTTAAAATACTACTGTAATGTAGACTTATATTATTAGCACAACAAAATGAGATAAAGAAGCTTCTATGTGCCCACTTTAAATGCTTATCTATGAAACATGACTAGCCATTTTCTTCATTGTTTTATTCAACATTGAAACTTCTCAACCAAAAAATTGACATTACCCTAAGTTTTTAACCTATCTTGTGTGCAAAATTGTTTGAATCAGAGCTTCTGAGTATCCAAGTGGTGGTGCTTGCTTCCAAATGAGATTGTCCTACAGCCCAGCTGCTCAATTCTTCCTTTTTCTGGTTCAGTGGACTGATTGTCACCTTGCTGGAGCCTTAGGGTTGCTCAGAATTCTTATATACAAGGTGTGTTCCATGCTTCTTAACTTTGTGTCTGTTAACAAGTCTATCTTTTCCCTAAAATATACTTTCCAATTTTCATTATCAAATATTATTTTTGATATATAGGAAGCAAACTCAGTAATAATGTATTTATAACAACTCACATATCCTGCTTAACCAACTCAGTTAGATCCATTGGTTTCATTATCGAATATGATAATGCAAAAGTGTAACCAATGTTGCTCTTTTATTGTAATGCTAGTGAATAATACATATTGGGTTTGTCACAGGCATATGAGGATGGGAAGACAACCATATCCATTTATGAAAGAAAAGCCAGTCTAAAGGAGTTCTATGGTAAGTAAATAGTCATGTTGAAATCATGCTGTGTGTGCATTCATATGATAAAGTGCTTCACAATCCAAATGTGATTACTTTTACACTCTCTGACTATAATAACAGGTATGGTGTTTCCCTCTTTATTGCAACTCCACAGAGGAATCAGTGATGTTGAAGACAGGAAACAAAAACATCTGTGTGCTACCAAGTATAAGCTTAAAGACTTGACAAGTAAAGGAAAGGTTTCTGAAATTGACATGGAGAGAGAAGAAGAGTGTGGTATTTGTTTGGAGATGAATAGCAAGGTTGTATTGCCCAATTGCAATCATTCAATGTGTATGAAATGCTACCAAGACTGGTGAGTGGATTGAGACAACATTTGATGGCATGTTTTTTTTCCTCACTTCTAAGGATTCTTGTTTTTCGTGTTGGTTTAGGCACGCAAGATCTCAATCATGTCCATTCTGTCGAGACAGTCTCAAAAGAGTGAACTCAGATGACCTTTGGATCTACATTAACAGAAGTGAGATTAATGACCCGGCTTCAATCAACAAGGAGAATTTGAAAAGACTATTTATGTACATAGAAAATTTGCCTCTCATTGCCAGGCCCTATATTCACCATGTCATGTCGTCACCACTAGTGATTGCCAATTAGTAGAAAAGCTCATTCAAACTCACTAAATTTAAATTTTTATATGATTCTCAGTTTGTGCAGGAATTTATCCATTTGTAAATACATGTTACATTTTCATCACAGTCCATATTATATACTCATTTCATTGGAATTAATTAAAGAGTTCAGTTGTTCAAACGGTCTTCCTTGTTCATGGCTGAGACACTTAATTTAGCAAAATCAATTATGCAATCCCTTGATGCATTCACACTTGATAAAATATGATTATAACAATATATGTATATACATAACAATTTTATAACAAAATAAGATTATAACAATTATATACATATCAATTTTATATTTTAATTTACTTCTTAAATTATGTTTAAATCATTTGTGAAAAAAGGCAGATAATCAATTATGCCATTTGCATAATCGGTTATGTCGATTTTTTTTTTTTTGAAAACCGTAATAAAGTAGTATATGATATGAAATAAAATAAATATATACATATTTTAATTAAAATAAATATATAAATAATATTTTATAAATATTATATTTATATATGAACATGAATTAAAACTATTATAAATGTATATATATAAAATAATTTTATTTCAAAATTTTAATTTACGTGATAAAATACGATTGAAATTTATACAAGATTTAAAAAAATAATGGATACCATATGATGCTATAGTCAATTATGCTCCCCATAATTGATTATTGTGGCCTATATAAAGGCAAAGAGAGACTATGAGAAAATTAATTCTATTTCGCTGCTCTCGAACGTAACGTAAAACACACTTTCTTATAAATAAACAGAAAATAATTTTTATTTTACACAAACTCTAAAAAAGTAAATGACTTTTTTTTTTACACATTCTTTAAATTACTTTAATTTCCTGAATAAAATGGCTATTTAAATATAAATGAAATGTAAATTAGGAAATTTGATCCAATTGGGTAGTGCAACAGCAACATGTCAACCCAAAAGGCCTATATATGTTCTCCTTTGTATTTTGTATATGTACAGAGAACTCGATAAAACAAACTTACCCTTACCCACCATTTCTCTCTCTCGCTCTCTCTCTCTCTCTCCTTCGTAGCTTGGTAATTAAATTTCCCTCTTCTCTTCTACGTGTTGTTTTCACTATTACGTAATAGAATAATGCCCATATCTTAGTATGTCAAGTTTTTTTCCTAATGTCAATGAAAATCAGGACTTCGATGCTTACCCTTTTGTCTGTGTGCTTGTAAGGTGCTTGATCAAATGCCCAAGTCAGTGTTGTTTGTTTTCTTAAGTTTACTAAACATAAATATTGCCTGCTCTTCAATGTCAACCTTGCTTGCAATTTGGCATTTTCAAAATGCCCAGTTGATGAACATGCTCTGTTCTTCCAACACTGCAGGGCCTCTATTCAGGTCCATTAGAACTAGTTCAATGTAGAAGCAAGGAAATGTGCACATCTAAGAGTTAGTACTCTGGAAATTTGTCAATTTGGTGGATTGGTTTAGCATTGAAATATGTTAAACTTATAACTATTTTCTTCTTCTGATTTACGCTGAACTTAGGTTTCCTTACTGTGTGTGTAAATTGGTGGCTTGCTTGCTTTTTCTGTGTAAATTTTCCTGTTAATGATTGATTCCTTTTTGAGATTTGAAACTGTGCCACGATATTTGCCGTTAGTTTGTAATTTTTTTTAGTGTGTTTGAATTTCAGTTACCCTTTTTCTATTGTTGTGCTTTGGAAAGCTGGGTGCAGACGGTTGATTTTTGACATACAGGTGCATCTAAACTCATGGGAACCAATTTTCTATGGAACTGTACTAAAAAGTTCGTCACTGCTTCGATCATCACCGTGACTGTGTCTGATCGTTTTGTGACCATTATTCCAGTTCGAGGTGGCTCTATGTCTCCCACATTTAATCCTAAATCCGGTTCTCAGATGGAAGATGTTTTTGGTATTTTTCTTGCTGAAGGGGTTCAAGAGAAAAAATGACTTTTACAATTGCAGATTTTTTTGTTTGACCATTAATTATGCTGCAGATGACTATGTTTTGGTTGAGAAATTTAGCCTTGGGAAGTACAATTTTGCACATGGTGATGTGGTAGTTTTCCGGTAATATTTTTGTCCATTCTTTTCCATGTATTGTATTCTTAAGATTTATATTTGCATTTATATGCCATATCTTCCTTTGTTATATGATGTCTGGAAGATAATTTAGCAGGTGATTGTAGAGCCTGGTGAATTAGCATGTCTTTGGATTAATATTGCTTCTCTGTAGAAGTTATTGGCAGTGGATGGTTCATTGTCTGAATTATACTATCTGGCACTGGCTCATAAACATTAATGAACTCTTGTTATGTAAATTGTCCATTGATTGGCTTTTGCTCATAATGATGCATATTTACAATCTTGAACTATACTAATATGATAATTTTACAATTGAGATCTAAATTTCTGTTTTTGGAAGTTTTAATTGGCATTCTGAAACTTCTGTAGCTCTCCACTGAATCACAAGGAGACACATATAAAGAGAATAGCTGCATTACCTGGTGAATGGTTTGGCACTTATCATAACAATGATGTGGTTCATATTCCTCTAGGACATTGTTGGGTTGAGGGAGACAACATAGCTTCTAGCATGGATTCAAAGTCATTTGGACCAGTAAGTTGCTATTACCACTGAGTTTATGGCATGATACTGTTATGATATGCAAAATAAAGCAAGAAAAACAAGTCTTGTAAAGGATCAATACTTGAAATGAGCGTTAGGTGAAATTTTTTTGACCCATTTACCATTTTAGTAGTTTGGTTGGTTGAGGATATAAAATTGAAGTTGGTTATGATGACTTCTCCTCGATTATTCTTTAGTATTACATTTTGAGCAAAAATCTCAATGTGTCTGTTGCTCATGAGCAAAAGAAATTATGGTTTGTAATAAGTACTGGACAAAGCC